CGCGCGCTATACGTTTCTGCCTTCGAAAGAAACTCACTCAGTTACGAAACACGAAGCACGATGCAGCACGACAACGTAATGCACTATTTGCGTTTCGCCGACATTTGTGAAGCGCGCTTTTTTCCCACTGATGTTTTTCGGCGCAGCATAATACATTATGCTGCCGCCCACAACGATGTGGAGGGAATTATTTTTTGCCTCAACCGAGGTGAGAATATCAATACACAGGATACATACGGGCGGACACCGTTGCATTACGCGTACCGCTCACGGGCTACCCAAACGATAAACTTTTTGTTATTCGTTGGAGCTGAGCGTGATATTGTGGACGCGCTGGGCCACAAGCCTGTTGATCTCTTCTATTGGCAGAATGTATACTGCAATTGCAGTGAAGTATGTGATTCATGCATTCATGCACCGCGGCACTGTCATGCAGATGTGCCCATCCACATCTATTCCCGCCTTATAAGGCAGGGATTTGATGGGTTGTGCGAACATGCAACACAACAGGAACGTTTTGACACCGGTCCGCTGTCGCCGCCACCACTAGCAGTCGGCGAGGAAGGCAACGAGACACCGAGGCGTCCTGTTGCAATTGTCCAACCGACCGTGCGACCGCCACCACCGCCAGCATCACCAATTGTCGGCGGTAATATCGAAGCGCAGCCCCGCTGGCGCTTAAGAGGACCGTATGTGCCTCTGCGTCGGCCGCACGCAATACCAACGCTGCCGCCGCCCCGACCGTCAACAACAGCAACTCCCTCTGCCGCCGGATCACCGCCGCCGCAGTAAAAAGTAAGTTTTAACAGTAAACGCAGTACACAAAGTTTAAACAGTTTCACGCAGTAAAAAATATATATATCTTGACTGTATTTTGATTTTCTTCGTCTCATTGTTGCAGTTGCTTTGAAACAACCGTGGAGTCAACCGTGGAAACACACACAGTGTTTAAATATCTTTATAATAATGTAATATATATAGTATATTGTATATCATTTTTAAATAAAGAAAAACAATTAAAATGCACTATTTTTTAAAATTTGTTTGCCTGTCACAACCTTGTAGGTTATTTCCCTCATTAATAATTTTCATGAAATTTAACTATTTTTAAATTTGTTTGTCTGTCGCAACCTTGTAGGTTTATTTAATTTAATAATGGCAAATAATAATTTAATTCATCTCTCTTTACTATTGTATTTTTTTTTATTTGAGGATTTGAGGAATGAAGTAGGAAATAAAGAAGAAGAAGAAATGTTCAGTTTTAATATTTATGGTTTATTCACTAATGATTACAGTCGTTAAATAATGAACGAACACCTTTACATCTCGCAGCGAAGGTTTATAAGTCAAGTGAAGTGAAAGAGTTGTATAATGTGACACATTCAGAAAATTCGAACTGTACTTTGTCTCTAGTCGCGTGGTAGGCAAAGAGCACCCCTTTGGCCACCACGCGACTAGAGAGAAAGCACGGTCTGAATTTTCTGAATGTGTGTCACATTATACAACTCTTTCACTTCACTTGGCCTATAAAACCTTCGCTGCGAGATGTACAGGTGTTAGAATACAACATAGATTATACACATTATATACATTATATATACACATTATACATAGATTATGCATTAATTATTTTATATTGAACAAAATAACTTTTAATAGCAACCCAAACTTTTGGTTTATATAAGTCTTTTAGTTTATATATGAGCACCACGTTTGCATTGTTGCTTTCATTTACACCAATGTAAGATAAATGCGGCCTTTCCTTGAGAAACATTTCTCGCCCTAGTTGCTGGATTTCAGGAGTAAATCTGAAAAAGAAAAAAAAAAGTAAGTACAGTAGTTTTTTTTTTATATATATTTAATTTCTTTAATTTTAAAAGAGAAGCACCTTGTTGGTAAGAAAACGCCAAACGTATTATTTAGCGTCGCTACATAGGATGATTTATCATATTTTCCGGTGTCTATGAGCGTTACATCAGTAATTTCAAAAAACAATCCTTTCGGAAAGTTTTCAAATTTGAGTCTGTTGTGTTCAGACTCCGCCTTCCGCTCAATTTCGGTCCATGGACTGCAATAAAAATTATTAATTATAATAATTAAATGACATATGAAATTAATAATTTTTTATTCTTTGATGATTTATATACTTACTCTTGTGTCTTTAATTTTTTATAAATCATCACCAAGCAATTTGAGTTTCCTGGGACCAGACGCACAGCTTGGGCATCTTGTTTATTAAAAATCCGTTGTCTGGTTTCGTCCACGGTTGTTGGTGGGTTGAACGGTAAAACCATTTCACCCATGTGTTCGTTACCATGAAATGCCACAAGTGCCTGTCTATTTACATTTTCAAAAATATCTTCGTCCGAATCCGGAACGATGATATCATCCTCTTCATCTAATAAATCTTGGGTGTTGATATAAAATTGAGGAGTGTCTCTGTCAAATATAAAAATGTTGTTAACAATGCGTATGTGTTCACTGCGGTGTTTGCTGATGCTTTGCATGTTACTTACAGTTTTCGTTGTTTTGCATCAGAATCTGCTCCCGCGGTGTCCTTGGCTGCGGTCCTTTTGTCTGCCATTGCTGTCACTACAAGCTGTGCACTGTGCGTACTGTCACTACAAGCAGTCGACTGTGCGTTGCTCGGATGGGGTCCCCGTATAAATGCCTGGCTGACGACCAATTACCCGAGCGTTCTTATCATTATCGTTTGCGGTTCGGCGTGCTGTCTTATCACTACGGCTTGCTTGAGCGACCGCGTCTTCCGCTCATTAATTGTAATCTATGTTGTGCAATGCTGTTGCTCCGATAATGTTATCGTTATCGCTTGCGGTGCAATTAGTATGTACACTTATCATGTCAACGTCTACCGCATATCGCTATCGCTTGCTCGCGCGACCGACGTCTTCCGCTCATTAGTTACAATCTATGTCGCGTGATGATTGTGTAATCGCTATCGCTTGCGGTGCTCCGACTTCCGCTCATTAGCGCTGCGCGTGTATAATCTGTGGCGTAATGTGCTGCAATGTTGGCG